AGGGTTAATAGACATACCCTCCGGCAGCAAGCACTGTGCCTTCATTGGGTACTCACTCTCTGCCTCCTCCCTGCTTTATTTTTCTGAAGAGTCATCATTATATAAAATATACTATGTATTTATTATGGTCTGGCTTCCCCGTTAAGATAGATTCATGAGGTCAGGGGTCAGTTTTTATTGCAGTCACTCACCCAGCTTATAGGATATAGGCTATCATATTATAGGTGCTCAAGAAATATTTGCTGGTTTAATGAGTAAGAAGAAAACAATAGTAACAACGAAATAAGGAACAGGATATGCTGAAACCTCAGCAGAAGAGCTGAATCACAATTGGCAAAAAGAGCTTTGGTACACAATCATCATTAGTGGAAAATAGAAAAATGAACCATTTATTTTTAAAAGGAACAAAAAGCACCCGGAAAAAATTAGTATAATGAAAAGAGAGCACTGACACATTAGAAAAACTAGACTGATTAAAAATGCAACAACTAAAAGATTCATTAGAATCTTTTTTTTAATATATTTTATTGATTCTTTTACAGAGAGGAAGAGAGAGGGATAGAGAGTTAGAAACATCGATGAGAGAGAATAATCGACCAGCTGCCTCTTGCATACACCCTACTGGGGATGTGCCCACAACCAAGGTACATGCCCTTCACTGGAATCGAACTTGGGACCTTCCAGTCCACAGGCTGATGCTCTCTCCACTGAGCCAAACCGGTTTCGGCTCATTAGAATCTTAAAAGACAAGAAGTGTAATGTATAAACATTGAACCCAAGATATAAAAGAGAAATTAGAAGAAAAGAACAGAGATGAAGAAAAAGAAGATGCAGAAGGCAAAGAATAGAATCTGACTTGAATCTCACAGGTGACGATACCACGTTGGAGAAGAAATAAAACAAATAAAACCAAAGCCATAACTACAGAAAACTTCAGAATTGAAAAAGCTCACAAAAATGCTTTTTAATAAACCAATAAAAAGACCTCATCAAATTACAGGCAAAATCACAAAGTATTGTATAATGAGGAACATTTAATCAGAATGGTTACAGGGAAAACAGACTTAAGAACAAAGAAACAAGAAATGAAGGTCTCTGACTTCCTCTCAGGTTAATACTGGATGCCACAAAGGAGCAGATGAACTTCTCCAGAGTTTAGAGGGAAATGACAGGGAAGAAGTTGTGTACAAGGAAGTTGTCTGTCACGCTTGACTGACTCCTGCACTGCCAACGGAAAACGAATCCAAGGAACCATTGGAAGCAAGCAAATGGAGAGGGAAACAACATCAACACAGCAGCAGCTGCCCGGTGCTGAGGAGGCAGGATTTAAAGTGAACTCCCCATCAGAGGGCCCTGGTTACTGCCTCGGGCTTTCCATGGACATCCCTGCAGGGCCATGCCTGAGAAGAACCACATCTCATGGTTAACGGCCATCCCCCAGAACTCAGTAAACTCAGTAGTAATAGGAGACCCAGAAGGAATGGACACAGAGAAGAAAGTATCTGAAAAAGTTGTGGGAAATAAAACCTCCCTGTATTTCTCAGTGTTCCTGTAAAAAAACAAAAACACACACAAAAAAAAACACCTTTGTCTCCTGGGTCTGCAAAACATTTATGCTATGAAGTGAGAGAATGTCTGCTTTTACTTCTCCTAGGACCATTTCACATACCATCAGGATTAGAATTGTAGCCCTGTGTTTAAAACTTCCTTATCTCACTGAAAGCCAAGCAGTTACATCACAAGATAAGCACCTAAGCCGACTCCAAAGGAGTAAGGGAGACTACAATATCATCTTCCTAAGCATCCACATTTCAAAGAGACATGAGGTCCCAGAACTTGAAAACACCTCTAGGTCTAAAAAGCCAAGGCAGGGAGGCAGGGGGAGTGTACCTGGCTCCTGAAGAGCTTTTATTTACACACCACGGGGTTGGAGTAAAGAGGAGAAGAGGGGGACTGCTAATGCCTTCCCCTTTATAGGAAGAAAGTCACACTCCAGCCCCCAGCTACTCACAGAAAACAACTGGCCTGGCTCTCAAAGGATCTCCTAGCAGATAAAAACTAGGACAAAGAAGGAACAATGCACTTACCACGGTTCCCCCAAAATAAGACATCCTCCGAAAATAAGACCTACTTACAGGTTTTCTTCTGAGTAAAATATAAGGCATCCCCCCGAAAAATAGGGCCCCCCCCTCCCCCGGCTAAACATGAGAGATTTGGTCCACTGATTCTGAAAGAAATGGAGTCACAAGAAATTCACCAGGAAATTCAGGAATTGGATTGTTATGATGATGTTCCAGAAGATGATGACATGATTGTCATTGAATAAATGAGTAAATTCTTGATACGGTAGGATTCACAATTTGTCTGGTTTGTGTTGACAACTACCGTACCGTATACAGGTAATAAATTTCCTTTATTTTCATTTAACAATAAATGTGTACCGTATTCTTCTTCATGGAAAAATAAGACATCCCCTGAAAATAAGACCTTGCGCATCTTTGAGAGCAAAAATTAATATAAGACACTATCTTATTTTCGGGAAAACAGGGTATTATTTACAGTGATGTACTTAATAACTCTGTCTCTGATCCAGAAAACCTGTGGGCATGCAGGGGAAAAAGTAAGAAAAATTAACATTAAAAGCCCAACAAAAATAATGGCCACAAACGTCCCAAAATTGATGGAAAAACATTAATCTAAGTATCCAAGAATATCAACATATTCCAAGTAGAATAAAAAATAAATTTAAAAATTTTAAGGTAAGGAGAAAATCTTAAAAGCAGCAAGAAAAAAACAACACTCATCATTTATAGGGGAGCAACAATACAATTAAACAGACTTCCCATCTGAAAGAAAGGAGACTAGAGGACAATGGAATGATACCATCAAAAGAATTTTTAGCCGAAACCGGTTTGGCTCAGTGGATAGAGGGTCGGCCTGCGGACTGAAAGGTCCCGGGTTCGATTCTGGTCAAGGGCATGTACCTTGGTTGTGGGCACATCCCCTGTAGGGGATGTGCAGGAGGCAGCTGATCAATGTTTCTGACTCTCTATCCCTCTCCCTTCCTCTCTGTGAAAAATCAATAAAATATATTTTTTAAAAGAATTTTTAAAATATCAACCAAGAAGGGGGGAAGGGGGAAGTAGACATATGTACAACTATTTGTAATACTTGAAACAAAATTTTTTTAAAAAATTTTGATATATTTTATTGATTTTTTACAGAGAGGAAGGGAGAGGGATAGAGAGTTAGAAACATCGATGAGAGAGAAACATCGACCAGCTGCCTCTTGCACACCCCCTACTGGAGGATGTGCCCACAACCAAGGATACCTTGACCGGAATCGAACCCGGGACCTTTCAGTCTGCAGGCCAATGCTCTATCCACTGAGCCAAACCGGTTTCACAACAAAATAAAAATTTAAAAAATAATAATAAAATATCAACCAAGAATTCTATATCCAGAAAAATCTTTCCTTCAAAAATGAAGACAAGGAGGATGGTGGGCAACTTTACAGTGAAGTAACTTGACAAACACAACCCTGACCAAGTAATCAAGGTCAGTATAATCAGTGATAGCACTTAGTCCTAATATGATGTGTTGAGAACAGCACTTCACCTCCTACAGACCCATCACCCCAGTGTAACCATGAGAAAAACATCAAACAAACTCAAATAGAGGGAAATTCAGAAAAGTACCCTACTAGTACTCCTTAAAACTCTAAAAATCATCAAAAGTATGAAAAATCCAAAAAACCATTGCAGACCAGAGAAGGCTAAGGAGATATAGCTAAATACACTGTGGTATCATGAATGAGATCCTGGAGAAGAAAAAGGACAGTAAGAAACAACTAGTGAAATCTGAATAAAGTATTGGATTTAGTTAACAGTACTGTATCAGTGGTGATTTTCTGATTGTGACAAATGTAACATAGTAATGTAAGATGTTAACAATAAAGAAAACTGATGAGAGTTCTATGGGAACTCTATAGCTCTATAACTTTTCTGTAAATCTAAAGCTACTCTAAAATTAAGTTTTTATTTAAAAAATCTCAATAGATAGATTTAACAGCATATGATATACAATAGAAGACAAGATTAGTAAACAAAAGGCAGGTTAAAAGAAAATATATTCTTGAAGGTCAGAGAAGGGAAAAACTTGAACATAAAAAGCCCAACAAAAATAATGACAACAACAAACTTTCCAAAATTGATGGAAAAACATTAATCTATACCCAAAAAAAAAAAGAAAAGAAAAGAAAAAGAAAAGAAGAAGTCTTAACAGACATATGAGACATACTGAAAATGTTAAAAGAACTACAATAGAAGTCCCATGGGGGGAAAAGGGAGACTTATGTAATTCTTTCAACAATAAAGATTTAAAAAAAAAAAAAAAATAGAAGTCCCAGAGGAAAGGAGAAACAGAATAGGATAGAAACAGTGTATAAACCAATAATGGCTGAGAATTTTCCAAAACTGATGAAAGATTTAAGAAGCTCTACAAACAGCAAACAGCAAAAAAAGAAAACCACTTCTCAGCACATTATTCTAAAATGTTAAAAACCAAAGAACAAGGAGAAAAACTTTAGAACATCCCAAGAAAAAAAATCTATTATTTTCAAAAGGAAAACAATAATATTGACAGCTTTCATCTCAACAAAAATGAGAGAAGCAGAAAAATAGAGTGATATCTTTAAAGTACCACCTAGTCCTTAGCAATAAAACATGCTTAGCAGAGTCTACTACCACTACTGAAAATGAACCAAGCATGTGTTTTATTGCTAATGACTGAATGGTACATTCTAGTAACATCAATGAGCACCATGAATAGAATTATTATTATTATTATTATTATCATCATCATCATCATCATCATCATCAAGAAAACATTAACTCAATACATATTACACTATCAAAATTTATAATAGAAAATGTCAAGTAAGTACCCACACACATACATATGCATACATACATATACACATGCTCATTTCCCCACCTTACCTAAAGATCTGCAAACTGAAATAGTTGCCTCCTCCAAGAGCTTCAAATCAGTACTGGAAAGATAGAAGAAGAAAGATAATTAATAATTATAATACTAAATATATACATGCTAAAGAAATATATAAAAATGAAGAAGAGAAAAATAATTTAGAAGGAAAATATGATACACTAGAGGCCCGGTGCACAGATTCGTGCACTGGCGGAGCCCCTCAGGGGATGCAGCAGTGCATGAGGCGGCAGATGGCCAGGGAGAAGCCCGCTCATGCCCGTCCTGCTGCACCTGCCACCACCCGGTAGCACTGCTGTGGAGGCGGGAGAAGCTCACGCTGCCACAGCTGTGCTCGCCAGCCATGAGTCCGGCATCTAGCTAAGCGGCACGCCCGCTGTGGGAGCTCACTGACCACCAGGGAGCAGCTCATGCATTGAACATCTGCCTCCTAATGGTCAGTGCGCATCACAGTAATCGGTCAAACAGTTGACCAGTCACTTAGGGTTTTATATATATAGATAGTAGGGAACAATCAAATCAGCACAATAAAATGAAGCATCTATTTTCAATATAATTAGGAAATTTACTATAATTCTTCATATGACATTCCTAAAAGATAAGAGCTCAGGGCACCATGCCTTTCAGGCATTGAGGTAGGGAGGGAAGATGGGATTGGAGGCTTAGAAAAATTTGACAAAGGCACATCAATATAGAGCAAAAGGCAGCCCCACCCCCACCCCCGTCCATTTGTAAGGAGAGTACATGGGATACACTTATTTAGAAAAATAACATTGTTTTCAGGAAATGGGATTTTTGTTGTTTGTTAATCCTCATATGAGGACATTTTTCCACTGATTTTCAGGGAGAAGGAAAGAGAAAGAGAAAGACAAAGAGAAGCATCGATGTGAGAGAAACATATCAAATGGTTGCCTCCTGCATGAGCCCGAACAGGGCCAGGGCCAGGACCCTTTGGTCTGCATTATACATGGCCATACAAAGGTAAGGCCCACTGGCTGCTTCAGTGGATATGCTATTCCCTTAAGAACCTCAAACTATATTCATATTTTTAAAAAAAAAAAAAAAAAAAAAAAAGATAAATATCTTTTCAAAATGAAGTCCTTAAGCTTCATCTAAGATTTTAAAAATTTTTAGCCAAAATCATCTAGAAATAACCTACAATAAAGTGCTTACAGGTCCTAGATATTTTTCGAGTGTCTGCACGTCTCACATCTTGTCAGTCTGCTGTCCTCCCATCCCTTTCTCCTACCTTCCCATCTCCAGCTCAGGGTGAGCAGAGCAGGGGCAGCCAGGCTTGCTCAGCAAGACCCACTCCCTGGCCACAGGTGACTGGTCAGAGATAGATGTCTAATGTAAGCCACACCAGAGTCTTGGGGAATTTGGAATTGAGATGGAAAGAATGGTTTTCTGATGGCTGGAACTTGGAGGCAAAGCTGAGGGTTATGGGAAACCATACTCCACCCACTGAGAGGCAGAGAGAGCTGGTTAGTAAGAAAATGAATAAAAGAGCCTTGTGGACAGAAGCAGCAATAAACGGAGAGGCCTCTGAGGCTTCCCGCTGGCCTTCTGATTCTTGGGACCAGTTCTTCCCAAAGCCTGTGTTTATGATCTTCGATTCTATTAGACTCCACCCCTATCTCCTCATCACATGATCCCCTCTTTCTGGCATAGGCTAAATCAAAGTGATTTTTGCTAATAAGCAAAAGGTTCTAATTAATAAATCACTGTGGTAAGATTTAATAATACACTTAGTAGTTGGCAAGAAGTGGGAACTATGAATTACTCAGTTTATTGGTTACTCAGGGGGGAAAAAGTAGAGGTATAAAATGCAAAAGATTGTAAAGAGCTTTATGAGGTTAATAACTAGACCACATGCATAAAATCTGTTTCACTGGTGCTTCTACCTTCTTCAGTCAATAACACTCTCAAAGCTCGCTAGAACCAAGAGTTTTAATTATACACATGTGGTTATAACCTTCAAAAACTTCTGAATTTGTTCATTCAACAAACATTACCTGGATGCCCAGGACCTGCTGGGCTCTATGAACGATGCTACCTCTCTCTCTGGGCTACATAGACGAATGGAGCAGCAGAGACTCCTGGGAAGTACAAAAATCAAGACCAGCCCTTTGCCTAAGCTCATGGGAAGTGCACCCAACCTACCCTAGGAGCAATGAAGGAAGGCTTCCTGGAGGAAGAAACTGTGTCCTGAAGGAGCAAAAGGAATCAGTGGGGCAGACCAAAGGAAAGGGCTTTCCAGACACAGGAATAGTGTACCTAGGCATTGCAGTCACAACCTGGCATGTTCTTGGAAGCGGAGATTAATCAACATTGGAGAAGGGCAAATACAAGCATGGGGAAATATACTAGATGGCTAGAATACAGAGTTCAGTTCCTCAATTTGTTCTCAACAGAACGGTTCCCAAAACAGGTTTCTGATTGATTTCTAAGACAGTATTAGCCTAAAAAAGGATTAATTACACATGTACTAGTGAGACTGTTCAGACACTACTTCTTCCAGGAAACCTTCTTCGATCACCTAGCACCAGGTGAGAAGTCTGGTATCTGCCCCAGACGCACCCAATCAAAACAGAGCACAGGGTAGTAAGACTGCCCGATTGTCTGTCTGTGGCCCCTTAGATTGTGGGCTCCTTGCTCATCACAGCATTCGCAGCTTGGTGCAAAGCAGGCACTTAATAAAAATGCACTGAGTGAATGAATGGCAGACACTTCACTACCAAAAAACGAAATTAATTATTTCCCTGTTCATCAAAAAACACTCGACACTCTCCAGCCCTCAAGGCAAGGTCTGCCCCCAGGTTTTAATTTTATTAAAATATTTTTAAACACTCATTTGCTTCCAAATGTAAAATAATATGTCTTCTGAAGGAGTCCGATTGTTTTTATCATTCAAGGATGCAGAAAACTAGGAAGGCTGAGAATTATCTCGTGGCTCTAGGAAAGCGCCCTCTGGTGGTAAGCCAGCCAGCACCTGCCATTCTGTGACCAGGTCCAAGAGGCTTGGGCTCTGAAACAGCACCTCTGCCACAGCCTCCTCAGTGATCACCACTGCGGGTCAGAGGCACCTGCGACGCCCAGATGATAGGCTCCATGAGAACAGGAAAAATGCCTCATTCACCCACGCATCCCCACCTGGCCTGGTGCAGGGGCTCAGCCAGAAGACAAACACTTGGTAATTGCCTGTCAAACAAGGGACTCACAGAGCTGTTTTCCGCAGTGTCCCTGCAATTTCTGCACCCTGAAGCCTTACTTATTTCTACAAAGGAAATCAGCCAGCCACACCCCTGCCAAGAGCAACACGCTGACTGTTACAATAGAATTCCTTTCCTCCCACCTCTCCATCCTCCAATTTTCTAAACTTCTTGGAACATTTTAAGAATAATCTTCTTTCTTATTTGCTTGATGTAGAGCTAAAATGAGGTGGCAAGCAACTGGGGTGGTTGGTAACTGTTGCTGCGTGTTATAGGCATCCATGCACGGCACTGCTTTAGTTAAACAAATGAGCTCAGCTGTTCTGGCAGCAGGCAACTAACAAATCTCATCATTTGCAGTAAATAAAACTAAATGGTACCGCAGAATATGCCAATGTTTCCAAGACAATTGGAAACCGAATGCTGTTTGTGAAGGTAGATTTGGGGCACTAAAAGCATACAAAAAAAGGGGGCGAAAAGGCAGCAAATATTCACACCAATACAGATTAAATAAATTAGCACCTTACAGAGTACTTCAAACACTCTATCCATACACAGACTCCCACAACTCCGGGTCAATCTGAGAAATGTCAATATGGGAGATTAGTGATAAATAATATAAAACTAGTAATCTCTTTTTAAAATATATTTTATTTATTTTTTTACAGAGAGGAAGGGAGAGGGATAGAAAGCTAGAAACACTGATGCGAGAAAAACATCGACCAGCTGCCTCCTGCACACCCCATCAGGGACATGCCCGCAACCAAGGCACATACCCTTGATCAGAATCAAACCTGGGACCCCCTCAGTCCACAGACCTACGCTCCATCCACTGAGCCAAACCGGTTTCCGCAGTAATCTCTTAATCACAAACTTTGCTAAGTGAACTAAATCTAAATAAACAACCATATTGACACAAAGACTAGATGTGGCTCTGAAGCAATCCTTTTCTGTGAGAGTATCAGGCTCCTCCTTCTCATTATTCCAGCAGCGACATAAACAGATGGAGTCTCAGAACAGGAGCCTCAGCCTTGCAGGTGACACCCAAATGAACAAGGAGACCTATGCCCAAGAGTCAGACACACACACACACACACACACACACACACACACACACTCACCAAGCAAATTTGAAACCAGTCTCGGGATTTTCCATAGTTTTAAGGACCTTCAATGGGCTTCCCATAATTCAGCTAGGAAGCGGTAATTGAAATTTTCACACCGACAGGGAAGTTCTTAAACCTCACCACTGTTGTCTCTGGGTTACAAGTCTGTTCTTTTACTTCATGAAGAAAATCTCCCCAGGAAAACACCTGTCATCATACTCAACCCCACGCTGTGCATGCTTCTCTGAGAGCTTTCATAACAAAATTCCACAATAATACAGCTGAATTATTTCTAAGTTATATCTCAAGTAATCAATGTAATCTATGCGACCTCTGCTGAGAACAGCAATTTACATCATGACAAAGGTAAGTAACTGGGAAGCATAGGTAACAGAGAAGACTGGCAAGAGAAAATAGAGCAAAGGAGTGAAAACCTTCAAGTCATGTTACGGAGATTGAATTGTACCTTACATACAACAGGAAGCCATCAAGCACAGAATCAAAAATACACACTAACAGAATTATTAAAGCAGCAGCAAGGTCCCCTGGGTATGGGTAAAACCAACTTGAGATTTTTAAGGGGGCGTGGGAGGTGTTATTAATAATAATAATGCCTGTATGGTGCACTGGAGAAAGCCTAACCTTGTATTACAACGACTAAAATTAATCACCTCTGCCAAGTGCTGGGCCAGCTAACTTGGATAAACCACTAATGGTTACTACAGCAG